GATATGTAAGCATTTAAAAACTTTTTAGTGCCTTTTTGTCATCTGATTATTTTATAATGTATCTAGCCAGGACTATTACCGTTTTCTATACCGAAGATAACTGTTTCTGATATACACATTTCGGTGTGAATTTAATGCATATTTAGGTGGTTCACAAGGTGTCGTAAGTGTTGTTGTTGTTGTAGAAGCATACAAGTTCCCCAAAGGGTTTTTGGGGAGTGTTGCTGGAGTGACAGTCCTTGGCCAGATATAAATCTGGGTCGTTCCGGTTACGTAGACCCGACTTTCGTGGGAACGTCTGTCGTAAGTGTCGTATTGTCGTGTGTCGTAAATTTTTGAACGGCTAAACAAATGTTTAGAGGACTTGAAACCACAACCAAATACTTTTTTAACGGTGTGAAATTTCATAATACGATTGTTATGGTAGCTGGCGAACCCCTTAAATATAGTTTACTGTTCAATATGACTCCACCCATTAGAAAGAGAACGGTGCAAACTTTAAGGCAAGTCACCCTTCACCTCTCTGACCACTGAGAACCCATTTGAAAATGGGGTAAAATTTGCATTTTGCCAGAAAATATAAACTCGGGTTACGCCAACCACAGGATTTACGCGCAGAAAACCTTTTCGCGTTGGAGGTCTTCGGCCGCGCTAAAATAACCATAATCTGCCCAACTCCGGCTACACAGTATTTTTTACAAAAAAAGTTCATATTTCACACCGAATTTATTAACAAACCAAATTTTAATCCTTTGATCGCAGGAGTGGACACAATAACCCGAAACCGTTGTACAAATAACCGAAACATATCCAACAAAAGACCGTTTGCTTGTTCAAATTTCGATTCTAAGAAGAAAATGCTTTAAATAAACAAAAACTTAATACAATTTTAAGGATTTTAGATATTGGATATAGTAGCACGAAATGTCTTAATCTGCTTAATTGTCAGGTTGTTAATATGGCGACGAAAAAGTGACAATGAAACTACCTTCTTTTTTGTATCATGATTTAAACGAATATATGTAACAACAAAAGCAAATCACGAAAATTTGGTTTAAAATTATAGTGCACACTTTCTTCCTTTATGTCTAGTAGTTTTTTTTTTTAAATTGGTCCAAAAAATCATAATATAGAAAGAAACCAATGCAGGTATTTAAAACACAGAAAACGAAAAAAAAGAATTATTAAAAGACCTATGTTTTCTTTGACGAACGTCAAAGGTCAAGTTGAAGTAGGAGCTTCTACGACTGCTCATTGATAGCTCGGTTATATAGCTTAGGAAATAATATGATTAAAGATACTTTTATCAAAGTTGATAAATATGACATTTGACCAGCTTTTTTACACAAATACTCCCAAGCGTGGCGCCCGGGTAACATGACCTAACGTCGCATCTCCACAGGCAAAAAATAGTGGCAACAATTTGTCATTTTGTTTGCCAAATATACGTTTTATCGGTGCACTTGCACAACATTCGCATTCGCAAAAGCTCCGCATTGATTATTGCGAATTCGAAAGCGAATATTCCCAACAACCCTGGTATGTATGTATACTAGAGGACCACTAAACGAATCGTTTAGTTTTGTGTTGTGAGCACTAACTTTGTGTTTCGTTTGTTTCCCTATTTCTCTGCATTCAATTGTTTTGTTTGCGTCAGCTATCGCGAACGCTAGCAGAGTAAAGTTACCGCTCGCAAAATGTTTCCGAGTGATTTGAATCGTTTGTGTTTCGTTACCTTCTATGAGCGAAACTAAACGATACCGATACGTTTACTATTGTTTGTTTTCGTTCTCTGGTCCCAAATCAAGAATCTATTAAATTAGGGCCAAAAGTCAACGATTCGTTCTGCTTCTTTTTCTGTGGACAGCTTATACAATTATAAATAACTTTTATTTTTAGCAATTTTTTAAAATATGGCCTTGCTTTTTAAGAAAAAATAATAATTTTTTATAAGGAGAAATATACATTTTTAGAATTTTACAGCGCACTAACCACGTATCCGAAATGAGGCTTGTTAAAAATTTTTTTAATTCTAAAGAAATTTCCTATTGCATTTGTTACCCATATTTCTATTCTACATTGCATTGAATTTTTTTAATAATTTTTGGAATTAATCATGTCTTTGAAATTACAAAGTTCTTCAATATAAATCCTGCGGTCAGAGAGAAAAAATAAAAACGCCACTTTAAATAAAAAAATAGGTTTCAAACCCATTTATTTATTATTTATTTCATGGTAGGAGAGCTTCTCAAACAATATTGAAGCAATTTTTTCGATTCAAGTTGTTGAAAAGTAATGAATATCTAAATCCCGGGACTAATACCCGGATCCCGGGATCGTGACAACGCCATCCCGAAAATCCCGGGATCGGAAAAAGCCGAAAAATTAACATCCCTAATTGACATACATTCACACATTTTTATGCCCAAAAAGGCATGTCTTGTATAGTACACTCGGAGCGCTCGCTGGTCTTATTTCTAAAAGTAAAAAGCAATGCCACCTCCTCGCATCTTAATCGTTCTATCACATCTTACTAACGAGTAGTCGCATAGGGCGTAACATTTAGCATCAATGTAATCCTTGAACAACGTTTCTGTAATACAGATTAAGTCAATATTTAAGCTATTAAAAATAAAATTCAAATAATCCATTTTTCCACCATTTAAGCTTCGAATATTAAACCCAGTGTAGCGATCTGACAAAAGTTTAATAATCCCTCTTACATGATTGCTAGCCAGCTCACATATTTCACTATACATTTTTAATAAATGTTAAGGTGCGTATGCAAGGCGTGTTTAAATTAACAGTCAGAAAAAATAACAATGAGACAGAAATGACATAAAGAGTATAGATGTATGTTGATAAATAGAAAAGCAATAATACTAAATAAGGGAGAAATGTTGACAGGGTGACAATGCTAGTTACATACATTATGATAATAATCTTACATCTATTTACTGATAGCTGCAGTACTTTCTATACTTTTTAAGACTGATACTTTAACAGCGTCAGCTTGTGGATGGCCTCTAACATATACATGCCCCCGAAATGAAAACGCTGATGTTAATCGTTTTTGCTTTTTAAGCTGCATAGCAAACGCATCAATTCACGATTTCTCTTTGTAAAGCACTCATGAATAAAGATTTGCCCTTCAACGCCAATTCCTTTGTCGCTAAGAGCAATGGACCGTCTCTTTTCCTTACAATAAACCGCCACTGCTTTCAGCAACTGAGAACGATCATAAGGTGAATTCAACTTTACAATAACGGGAGCATCAGTTTTTTATTTTTTGCTGGCAACCGAAAGGCAGAGCGGACTGGTGTTAATCAGTGCACGGACTTTACCACTTTATTGGTAGATCTACCAACTTTTTAGCTGTTTTTTATTTTCTACCATTTCTACCAACAAAGGCTAAAAATCTACCAATATTTTCCCGAAAGAAAGCAAAGAGATTTAAATGAACACAGTGTATACATAATTTATCATGGAACATACCTAAAATAAACATAAGGAGTTAACTTTGATCATAACTAACTGTTATGGAAATATTTTTCGTTTGCAATATGTTTTTTGTGGGAGACTGCCAAAGGTAAACTTAAATCATTTCAAAACTAATTTTAATCAAAAAATTTTGAAGTGCAGAGTAATTGTTTGTTTTATTGTAAAACAGGGCCAGAATCAAGACATCCGATATCGAAACAATTTCGAATGGGAATTTTCTTTACAGCTTTTGGTAGCGCTTCGCTTTTTCAGTTCAAAATGTATTTCAGAGAAAACAGCTGTCATTTTGTTTCATTCGATTCGAATCGTGCCATGACTTGGGCCCACTTTTATGTGCTACATATTTATACCTTTTTTGTAGAATGTTTTATTGTTTTATAAAGAAATACAATTTATTCCAAGGCGAATTCATATAATAAGGTGACGGCAAAAGTTCAAAAACAAAAATTCCACTAACAAATTTTACCCATAATGACAATAAGAATTACAACAAATACATCATTTTGACATTATAAATCCCCAAGGCGAAAATTCAGCTGCTTTGGTAACACCATTTTACCTTAATTAGCTTTCATTTATCCTAAATGAGTAAAAATTATATAATAATGTTTCTTTTAAAAAAATCTACCAACTTCTACCAATTTTTGTATGCAAAATCTACCAATATTAATTTTTTCGAAGTCCGTGCACTGGTGTTAATTTCACTGCAAGCAGCCGATATAGCTGCGAGAAGCTGCTTGTTATGTTCTCGTCTTTCACGAATATATGAGGTTATTCTCATGCTCACTCATTTGTTCGCTTGTATGTGTACATCGCTGCGAAGCTTTTCTTTCTTAGCACATTCGAGTTCGGTTTGACTTTTTTGCCACTTTTTCCAAATTTAAAGTTTTGCCAGTTTGAGGGTTAAATACATATCGTCGCTTGGCGCGCAATACCTCGTATCTGCCAAATGCAATACTACGTATGAGCGGCATAGAAAAAATTTATTTTGGATACTTCCCTACTTCAAAAATGTAATTATATACAGTAGAAGCTCATGTATAGTAAGTTAGGTTAGAAAACCATTCAAACGTTTTGAAGAAAATAAGTTTTTCGCGCTTTCGCGAAATCTTAGGACTATCTTATACGTGACATTGCATTTGGCGGATACGAGGTATTGCGCGCCAACTGACGATATAACCCTACTTACTTCTTAAATTTTGTAACTTCGAAAATAATGGCGTTCTATTTTCTCGAAAAAAATTTCACTTATATGGCAACATTATCAGAGTGCGACATTCACGCAATATGCATGTGAAGATGCTGAGAAAAGAACACGAAAATTTGACAACCTTGGCGCAGGGCTGATTAAATGCAACATTATTTCGAGAAAAGAAAACGCTATAAGTTAGGTCTGGCGCCCAGGGATTTTACCCTGTTGCACCTAACTTGTTGACCTCCCCTCGTATTATAACTACATATGTATATGATTTCAATTAAAACAATTGGGTTATACACACCTGATGCGGGTAACCATACCAGCAATGCTTTATATCCCAAAACCAAGGCTTATCCCATAGCACGATGATGCCAAAAATGAAGCTATATGTATAATAAATGCATCGCCATGTATTCTCGCAAAATTTTACGAGAGTTGTTGGTCGGTCTCCTGCTCTTCTTAAACGCCACCATCGCTGAATTTGACGTTCTGACATATCAGTTTGTTTTTTCAAAGACGGAACCTTAAATAATTCAAACAAAATCAATTTAGTTGAAAAAGCTACAAAGAATGAATACATATATCATCGTTTAAAGTACAAAACCGCGTATCGTTTTTCTGCAAAACAGCGTAACTGACATTTGCTGCCAAAAATTGGATTTGCTCACACAAGCTCTTGGCTCAATCCTTATCCATTCGTCCTGAAATACACTAGCCAGAAATGCGATTGCTTTATAAAAAATAGAACCTTTTTGAAATATGAGTGTTTTTACTCTCTAGAAAATAATTGATGCAACCTCACATACGCGGTTTTGCATTATCTTGATACGCGGTTTTGCATTTTGTTTAAACGCGATTTTGTACTTTAAACAACGATATGTATACTTATTTCAGCATAAAGAAAGAAAAAGTTTAACCAGAAGCCCCCAACCTGTTCCACAGGTGTTGATCTAAAGCTGTACACCAAATCATGTAAACCACCCTCGAGGGAAGGATCGGCACACGTCACCAGCGAATTGGCACCTACGTCACTGTTGACGTATAGTAGAGGATGTGGAATATACAAGTGCCAAGTGAAGTGTCAAAACGGCGCGTTGCGACGCGAAACGCGGTCCGCCGTAGTATTGTGCACTTTTAAAGCTGTATACTATGTTCATAGTATGTAGCATGTTAGAAGTGTACTTTGTCCATATTTTTCTGATAGAGCAATAATGTCCATGGAATTACTGCGCCTGCGAAAAGGTAATACTATTGTCTATGGACGATAAGAAATAGTTTCCATGGATGTTATTTCCGCTCGGCTTTATTACACATCACCGTAAAGCTTGCATGCTTTTTAACCAGTGTTGCCAAGTTTTTGAATTTGAAAAAGCACCAAAACCCAAGAAAACTTGCATTTTTTCTCAAAAAAAACACCATATTTTTTATTGGAGCATTTAATGGACTTTGTATGCATACAAAATTGTATTGTAGGTATGCCGATTCAAATTAATATAAATTGATGTTTCTTGCTCGGCGGTCGAATTTCTTCTGCTTTCTATGAATTCAAATATTTTCGTCCAAACGACTGGACATTTTTGTTATTATTTTCTTATTTGCAGCTGTGTCCAGCGTTGCCGTTTCATTTATATTTGCGCTTTTTAAATATTAATTTTTCTTCGTTTTGTTAAATTTTTTCTACAATTCCTATCAAACGAAAGTAACAACAAAAAATTGAGTTTCATGAACTATGTGGACTACACTTTTAGTCTCTTATGGATCTCGTGAACTAAAGGAACGTAAAGAACTTTTCTTTCCGACCGCTTCGCACCAGAAACATAACAAAATTTGATTTCCCATAGTGGATAGCGCATAGTGGAACAAATCTTTTTGTGTACAAAATAGCTGCCTACTCGATTATTCCTTTTTAAAAAGGTTCGTTGTTCATTTTACTGTTAGGAGATTCTGGTGCTTTTTTTAATATTCGTAAAAATATAACAAATTCAGCCCGAACTAAAGGTCTAAAGATCGATTCCTGGTACCAGAAACATGGACGTTTTTGCAGGCAATGGCAAATTACCGTATGTAATTCTGGCATGATTTAAGGTGTTGCCAAATATTTTTTTGACAAACATATGCTCATTCGCTTATGATTGTTACTGTACCATGAATTCGTTTCCATTTTTGTAAAGTTCCTTACGAAAATTCCAATTGCTCTAAATTTAACTTCCATTTTTGTTTCAGATTTACAGTTTTGGTGTTTTCAAACTAAAAAAACGCACCAAAAAACGAACCAAGCACCAAACTCAAAAATTTTCGCGTTTTGAATTAAAGCACTAAATTTAGTGCGAAAAGCACTAAGTTGGCAACAGTGTTTTTAACATTTCTGACATTAATTCACTTTTCAATTGTGNTTTCAAACTAAAAAAAAGCACCAAAAAACGAACCAAGCACCAAACTCAAAAATTTTCGCGTTTTGAATTAAAGCACTAAATTTAGTGCGAAAAGCACTAAGTTGGCAACAGTGTTTTTAACATTTCTGACATTAATTCACTTTTCAATTGTGTATTAATGTCAATGACATTAATTCCATTGTCGCAAAGCTACGATTATTCGAATACCTTTTTAAAATCGAATATTCAATTGTTGTAATAAGCAGGGACGTGAACCGGTTTTGAACCGAACCGGTTTGGAGCCGGAAAACCGCTTTTTTCTATTAATGAACTGAACCATTAACCGAAATGAAATTTTCCACAAATGTTTGATCCGAACCGAAAACCGAACCACTTTCTTTAAAGGTTTAAAGGTTCGTTTCAACCAATTTTCAATAGATAAATGTACCCACTATTTTTATTTTTTTGTTAAACATGGTAATACGTACCATGTTTTTTTACCATGTGACAATATCAAATGTAAGGGCAGCCCATCTCACTTGACCCTTAAACTTGCATGTTGTTGCACTTGACAATTGACACTTAAATTTGCGCGTTATTTTTTTGTTTTTCGAACCGTTGAACCGAACAGAAACCCCGGTTCAAAGACCAGAAAAACCGCTTTGACGAACCAATCCAAAAGTGCAACAACGGTTCGAACCGCCGAACCGAACCGACCAAATTTTTCATCCGGTTCACGTCCCTGGTNAGAAACCCCGGTTCAAAGACTAGAAAAACCGCTTTGACGAACCAATCCAAAAGTGCAACAACGGTTCGAACCGCCGAACCGAACCGACCAAATTTTTCATCCGGTTCACGTCCCTGGTAATAAGCGCTATTTGTTGAGTACCGAAGGTAGATTTTTCGGCCGAAACCGAAGTCGAACCGAACGTTCGATTTTGTTCTAACAATCGGCCGATTACCGAAGCCGATGATTTACTTCAAAATTAAGTAAATCGGTTTTTTTTTTTTTTTAAATAAGCTCCTTCTTGCCTTATCAAGCGCACATAAAATACAAAATATTTACAAACGTATTTCTCTCGTGTGTATTAACAAAAAAATCATATTTTTATGAAATAATTGTATTCACAATTCAGTTTCTGTACACAGTCATTGTTATGTAGCAAATGTATTTGTTTATTTGAACTTTAATAAAATAATAATAATGTTTTGGCGTTTACACTTTTGCTAAGTGTTTGGCCGAGCTTCTCTAATTTTCGGTGTGCGTCTTGATGTTGTATCACAAATGGAGGGACCTACAGTTAATGAGAAGCTTCTTCATGGCAGAAATAAACTCGGAAGTTTGGAATTGCCTTCCGACAGCTGCACATTCGGTGAAATTATTACTTTTTCTGTGCGAAATTTATAGCAGCTAAAATATTGCATTATTTTAATGTAAAATGATGGCAACCGTTAAAAAGTGTTAAGTCAGTAAAAAAAATGTGGAAACATGACTTTCGTAAAACAGATTTGCCGCTTAATTTTTTTTTATGTTCAAATGATGAGTATGAGTAGTACTCGAAAACATTGTCCAATTAGCTTGGTTTTGACACAAGTTATTTTCTTACCATACTCAAATGAGCTACGTAATAAAGTATGTATGTTCATATGTACATAAATGGTTTCATCTAGCGATTAATTAATAGCATTATCGAAATTCCTAAATTAAATAAAAAAATGTTGACTACATGTCTCGCAGATATGCCTTGAGATATGTCGTCCTAAGGCGGTTAGTCTTTCTTCACAAAACACTTCATTTTCACTTGAGGTTTCAGTATTCTCCAATTCTCCACCGATATTATTTATATTCAAAATGCTAATGCTGATTCGTTACACATTTACCAAAAACCACTGGTAAATTCCTGAATGTTCTTGAAACTAATTTGTGAAAAGAATGTTCAAAGCTCTTTTCACCTTGGGCAAAAAATTTCGAAATTGCAATCCATGGATTATTTCATGGATTTGCCTTTATGCGAAGGCTGTTCATCAATAGTCTTTGCGAATCGGCGCGAAATGGGATGAAAAGTATACCTTGTTTATACCTACGCAAGAACCGCATTAATAAAAAGCTGATTTGCCTCAACACATATTTCTTTCAAGCATTTATACCTGTCGTTATAGCGCACTTGTTATAATAATAATTCAAATTTTTTATAATAATAATTCAAATTTAAAACGCCGTGTATCGAAATGGAAGCGAACAATAATTCAAATTTGTTATAATAATAACTCAAATTTTAAACGGGCTGTATAAAGAAAACCAGACTTTTTTCACTTCGCGTCAAATGACTGATGTGAGAAATAAAAAAGCGATTTGAAAACAAATTCGAGTCAATACACTTTCGAATTTCTGAGCGTATTGAAAGTTGGTTTATGCTTCCGTTTTGAATCACAGCGAACTGGGTCAAAGCGCTTTATGTGTTGGTATAAGCAAGGTAATAGTCACGCTGTTAATAGATAAGTGCATCAAGGACGAATATAACGGTTGTTTTTAAATAAAATAAAAATGGAGAATGCACGAACTATGTATGCGGAACCTATTTTTATGTTGTACTCGTCCATAGCTACATCCTATAATAGGTTTTGTTTCGGGTGTATTTCATGACTTTTTGTAGCATCGTGCAATTAATTACTTAAAAAATAAAATAAAATTATAATTAATTAATTCTAATTACATGATCATTTCGTTATTTTTTGATTATTTTCAATTATTTTTTAAATTCTTTAATGACATGATTAATATAATTATTTGAACATTTTCAACTATTTTTGATTTTTTTTTAATTGCATGATTAATATAATTAAAGCATTGTTCACTCAAAATCGGTACGCGTTCCAGCAATTCCTGTACAGCAATTGTTTCAATGTATTAAAAAGTTGCAATGCAGATCGTTAGACAATAGATCTACCATTATGAGGTTTAAATTTCATAGTACTGGCTTTTAATTTGACAGTTTTATTCGTGTTGGAAGTGCCTGCTCAAAAAATAATGTTGAACGAATTCGTTGAAAATCCGACATTCTCGAGATCAAAAATCAAATTAAAATTAAATATACCAAAAACTTCTAATTTTCCTCCAAAAATCAATGAATGGATTCCTTCTGCTTAAACT